TTTTTTCTTAATGCAGAATTTTTATATATTTAAAATTTTTTATCCAACTAATTTGATTCAATTAAGGAATCCAACAACAATGCCAGATTAATATATAAGGTTACCCTAGAATACCCTACTCATAATTTCATTCATATTATATATACATATCTAGAAGAAGATGTTATCATGAAATTTACTTATACTATCAAAAATAACATAATGGAAAAGTGGATCAATTTAAAATATTTTAATTGGTAAACAAAGTGACATGCTTTCCCCGTTGCAGGATCTATAAATGACAAATAAAATGATATGCTTTTGCCGTTATAACATCTGCATAAACTCCTATATTGCATGTATATATAAATAAATACTTTTCATGATAAACTCATCTTCCTATGATCTCTTTGATAATGTACGACCCCATAATTAGTTTGAAAAATTCATAATATATGTAATAGGAAATCATAGGATATTTATGAACTTCATATCATATATCATAATATATATATATATGTATTCTCATACCGCATATCATATAAAAAAATACATAAAATATTTCACAATGAAAGCATTTTTGTATGGCAGATGCCTAATAAGGAGATAAACTTATGATTTAAAGTAAATTAGAATACACATATGTAAGGATAATTTATAGTACTTATAATATATTTCATATCATATTCACATCATATTTTATAATATATATGTATACTTCTACACTATATGTCATAACATATTTGTGTATTCCTATATCGCATATCATAACATATATACACAGTCTCTCATCGCGTGTCATAACATACAACATATATATACACTTCCATATCACATATCATAATATATACGTGAATTACATATCATAATATATTAGTATACTTCTACACCATAATGTTTATGCATGTTAGTTATTTTCATTGTAATTCATATGCTCTTTATTCTTATGTAATGCATATATTAACATTATATTTATAGCTATCTCATGACAATCATATCATTTTATATCTTGAATACCCATAATTTATATGACTACTATTTTATAGTTAGTTAAGCTTATACTTACTTGATTCAACTTAAGATGATGTTTTCATCGAAGTACCACTATCTCAATGATTAAGCATGCTAGGGAATTAAAAATATATAAAATTAGAGCACAAGATCATGATACGCTCAAAGTAAAAACCTTTCATTTTGAATCACTAATAACTCCCACTATAACTAATGATTTGTAGCAAAATTTTGGTAAATCTCTTTGAATTAGATTATATCCAATCTGAAAATTCACTTAAATTTCACCACTAATTTGCCAACAATTCCACCTATAATTAAATGACATTGTTGCTTACCGATCAAATAATTATATGATTTTGTGAAATAATTTTGTTTCACTATTGTTGTTGATCAAACCATCTTATATTATCATAAAATTTTTCAAGAACTTAGGGGACATACAATAATTTTAGCTTAAAATAAAATTATTAGGATGCTAAAGTATTATCATAATTCAACTGCCATCACCTATTCTATGCTATTAAAACTAGGTTGAGACTAGATATACAGAAATGACATTCGCTCAATTCTAAAGCCTATAAAACCCTAAGAATCTTTTTAAGATATATCTAAAGAGCTAATTATATCCTTAAGAGTATCAATTCAACTTAAACAAGACCTCTTCACTAAAAATAGAATATTATAAGAATCTCAAATTAAAACAATCATAACTTTATACACAAGTATTGGATTAAAGCAATACACTACAAGCTTAGAATCATAACAAATTTATACACAATATGCCTAAAATTCAGAGATTAAATTAAAGCTTAGGTTTCTCAAAAAATATATGAACTTATTAGCCTATAAACTACTAAACCGAAACTTAAGTATAGCTAGGGGAAGAATTAGATATTCTTACCCTGTTCTTATGTAGAACCAGGGTCTTTGGCCTTAACGAAGATAAAATGCAGAACTGAGAGGGTTGCTGAAGGAGAGAAAGAGTTTCATGACTTGTTAGGTTGGTGGGGAAGATAAGACCAAAATTTTTATCTCCACTTAATGATCCACTGCTTCAGTCATGCATAAGTAAATCAATTTGCTATCCTCCACACATATTATGTTTAAACATTAAACTCACTTATTTTAAATATGATCAAACTAAGCATTTAGAATCAATTAAAACCTATTATTATAACTTAATATAATCGACTAGCACACTTATACTTATTGGAAGAATGCATGTTTTCATTACTTATATATATACTTCAAATAATATTTGAAAGAACTTTAAGAGTCAATAACACGAGTACAATAATATCGCAAATCTCACTTGGTATTATTGTTTTTGACCCAAAGGCGGATGGATGCGATGAGTTGGTTTCGACTCAAAAGGATGAAGAAAGACTACGGGAGCGACGACGATATTTTAACCAAGCTTGCTGACCTCATCTTCTCGTGTTCCCTCACTTGCACGGGCTGTTGGTGATTTTGAGTTCCCCCTTTTACACCAAACTTTAATCGATAACTAATTGTTTAGAAACTTCTTAAATAATAACAATATGGGGAGTTGCACTTGAAATTTGCATAATTATTTGATTCAAGAATACAAGGCATCGATTTTAAGACTCTTTTTTTTTTCTTTTTCTTTAAAGGATTATTTATGTAAAAACATGAAAGAATGCCAAAATTTGTAATAACAGCCCACCAAACCACACTTGGATGCGTATTCCTAACTTCTTACGGTCGCCTCTTTGGTGTCGTCTCGTTCCTCCTCCTCTTTTTTCAAGTCTCCCTCCCTCTTCCCAATCATCTTCGATTCCTTGGGTGATTCTCTGGGGCTTGTTTTGGTGACTCGGGATTACTGGGCAGGGATGGGGGATTCCGTGAACAGGGTTCTGTTGACCTCCGCCGGCGATGAGATCTCTAAGGGCATCGCTTACCACTTGGCCAAAGCCGGTTGCAGGTATCTTCTTCTTCTTCTAATTTTTTCCTTCTTTCGATCGTTCCTGATTTTACACTTTTTTTTCTTTTACTTTTAAGAATCTTCGGCTCCTATGTGCTGGTCCTTGTTCTTTCGTGTTCTTCGATGCAAGTAGAATGCCTTGGATAGGAAAGGTTGTGTCGGACTAAAGAACCAAGATGTTTGAAATAAATATGAGATAGAGATTTAGAGGTGAGTAGGAGACATATCGGGATCCATCAAGAGGACTAATACAATTTCCCATAAGTTGCACCATTAATTGCATTTTTGATGGCGAATAATCTTTTAATTCTGGGATTTCCGAAAGATTCCAATAATTGGAACCCGACAACTTTTGATTGTAACGGTTAGATCAAACCGTCCCAATGAGGTTCACATGACGAAAATTACTTGCTTTTCGTGAAGGCACAAATTGGATCAAACCAGTCATTAACTGACGATTACAGTGGAGGACCATTTTTTTGCATGCTTGAAACATCAGTGTTTGGTAGATTTTCACTTACAGGATTTGACTTTTTCAATAAATATAAAATTACTACTGATTTCTACATTTGAAAGTTAGTTAGTTTGCTCGTCTCCAACAACTTTATTATCATTTGAATGGTTAATCGATTTGATCTATTTATCAGACGTTGTCACTGTCTATTGGTACAGATGTATTACTGTGTGGTCAAATTACAATTTATAAGACCTCTAATTATTTATGTACAGAAAATGTGTTTAATGATTCTTTTTCTTTCATGAATTAATTTGATCTAAATGTTATTTCTCTAAGTTCCATTTATTATTTCTTTGTAATTTTTCTTAATGTTTGCTTATGCTGCTGGTTGTAATATAACAATTAGGTTAGTTTTGATGGGCGATAAAAACCAACTTCAGAAAATGGTGGGGGATATGGCGAGCTCTTTCAAGGAGGTCAATGCATTCAAAATTGTTGGTTTGAATATGGAAGAAGATCTTGAGGCTGTCTTTGATGAGGCAGTGGATTTGGCATGGAAGCTATTAGGGACACTTGATGCTTTCGTTAATTGTTGTGCTTATGAAGGTAAATCAGGAAGATTGCTATTTGCATTGGTAAAAATAATGTTTTTATGATTACAATGCTATGAATTTGTATAGTTTTTCTATTGTAAAAGCTATTGATTGCATCCTAGTAAGCTTCAAACTATTAATGTGTTACAAATTTCATTTGACGGCTATAAGATTATATTAGCATATATAGCCTCACATTGAACACGATAAATGACTAGAATAGCACTGGCTAGGGGACAATTTTCATTGACAGATAAAGGACTTGACAAGGGTACATCTGAAGCTAGAATTGCAATGCTGGTTATACAATTTATACAAAAAGCAAAACACGGTTTTTCTGTATTCTTCGTTTTTCAAGTTTTAAAGGGTTAATCCAGGAATATAGTTAGTCATACATGTAGTTACTCATGCTAATATTTGGTTTATGTAGGGAGAATGTATAGTAAAACCACTTATGTAAATTCTAACAAGTACATAGAAGTCCTTACTTTTTCCCCCCCTTAAACTTGAATCCATTGATATGAAAAAAAAGGTCCAATAACCCAATAAATCTGATGCAGACGGCAACCTAGTTATATTGTGTGAATAGATTTGCAAACCTGGTTCTCTTGGCATAGTGTCTGATAATTGTTAAAGCAGCTAGGACAACTTGTGAGACTGAAAACTAACTCCAAGGTAAATAGTGGATATTTTGATAAGGCTGTTCACATTAAATGTGTATACCGGATAAAGTGGTCATTTCTATTGGAAATTTATTTTTTTTCACTTGAAGAACTTTTCTGCATTGAGCATTATGTGGGACGTAAAACTTTCCACCCTCCTAATGTTGAACTTGTCAATGTTTAACTTCGTTCCTTTGTTCCTTTTTCATTTTATTTTGAAAATCATAATTGATTCTTTTCTTTGAACAAACCAATAAGTTCTAAAAGCATGATCATTGTCATCTACATCTGAGGTTGAACTGACTATAATATGGATAACTGGCTAAAGCATGAACATCTTTGGCATTTTGCTTCTGCTACCATCTCCTCAATGGTTGGTTACTCCAATTTTGTCTTTAACTCCTTATTCTTTGTTGGAGTGTTACCGTGCATCTTGAGATAGACCTAAAATAACTTCAGCAGCATACCTAAGAAATTCTTTAACATTCAGAAGTTCATTTTTTAAGATATATAGAAGGCTTTTCTTGTAAATTTCAGAGAATCATCCTGTACTTCACCATTCTTTACTTGACTTGTGGCATGGGCACCTTTGTTGTTCCACTTCCATAAACTTTGGCCTTGCACTCCTTGTTGACGTTTGATTTTATCTGAAATTTGTTATTGTTAGGGGAAATCTGGATTCTGACTGAATTCATTGAATGTGGAGTATTCAGATCCTCTTTTATCTGACATTTTAAACATCCTTTTGAACAAGGTAGATGAATCTCATCCTCCATGATCTTGTTTAACCCTTCCTTCCTTGTTCTTGACAATTGAAATAAGTTTGAACTAATCCAGATTCGCTTCAGTTATGGACTCAAATCGATGTCAGTGTGATCAAACAGACGCAAAATAAATGGCCTCACATTACAGGCCAAGAAGAGAAAACCTCCAGTTATTAATGTTAATTTTAATATCATTACTCATTACCTTAAGAGATAATAGTCTTTATATGATATATTAGAACTTTTATACTATGAAGATTTATTTAAGAGAGTGATAGATCTCATAAATCGCTTAAGACCTTTCGTAAGGAGACACCTAGATCTTTATGAAACTTGATTCTTAATCCAACACATACCTGCATTGGGGCTCAAAGGGCAACAATACAACTGAAATAAAACTCTAAAGATTCTGTATAGTAGAAACTAAAATAAGGATGAAAATACATATAAAGATATCAAAAAAATAGGTAAAAATAAAAGAAAACAGAATGATACCTTTCACCCAAACTGGGCTCAATATAAACTCATGTAAGGCCTAATCTTTATCTTGTGAAGTCACACTTGCCTCAGCATCATACTTTAGCTTTAAGATATCTACGATGCAGGATCTATACATCAAACTTGCGATCCTGGTCATTTTTCAAACTGTACTCTTTTTTTGCAACTTATTTTTCATCACGGTGACACATTATTGGGTGAAATCTAACATTATTGAGATATTAATATTAAAGCAAATGAAAAAAAGTATTTAATACTTTATAAAATGTTTTCTGTGAAATACTATAACAACTGCCCTTACAAATTTACTTCTTAGGGACTGACATTTTCATTTGTATTTTTTGTTTCTAATCCTGTAATAGATATGTTTGTTTGCATTATACGTTTTTCTTATCAGGGCCGAAGTGATAATTTTGTAGTTCTCAAGATAATCAATGTAGCATGTTTCGAAGGTTAGGGTTTATATTTTGTCAAATGTTTATTTATTGAACCTTTCGGACAGGGAAAATGCAAGGATGTCTAGACGTGACTGAACATGAGTATAAAAAGACAATAAAAATTAATTTCATGGCTCCATGGTTTCTGCTAAAAGCAGTTGCAAAACGAATGCGGGATAATAAAACAGGAGGATCCAAAGTATTCATATCCCAGATATTAGGCGCTGAAAGAGGCTTGTATCCAGGTGCTGCTGCTTATGGTTCAAGTTTGGCTGGTGTGCAACAATTGGTTCGAGTACGTATATTTTAGTTCTATGCTTCCACTTCAGGTAATTGCTTTTTCCTCCATGATGTCTTCTTTTCAAAAATGCATATAGAATATAGATGATTAAAATTGGAATATCAAACATTATTGGATATTATCCATCCACTTCTGTGAGTATATTTTTATCCTGCTATATATATATATATATATATATATCCAAAAGAAACTAGAAGCCAGAGGATACTTCCAATCTTTCTTAGAATTGAACATCTTCTCTACCTCTGTTTCTGTAGAAAATTTCTCTGCTAATTGTGATCGTAAGTTTGTTAGTTCCATAGGACCTGTATCCTATATTATATGTCTATCATGAATCTCATGACATGGGGACATTCGGTAGGGAGCATATATTATATCTTGTAATCTAGGTGTCTATATTCACTTTTATCTTGTATTTATCACTCTTTTATTTTGGCTGAAGATTAGGAAGATGTGATTATGATATTTGGTTAAATTCTTCAAATATTCAATTTTGAAATTTCTGTTTATCATGGTTTATATATGTATAAGTATCATTATAGTTTATATAAAGTTTGTATCATGGTTTGTATTATCGGTTTGTACCCGACTAGCTGTTGGTACGGTATGTATCAAGTTGTGTCATGTTGTACTGAGTATATCGACACACAGTACATGGGAGCGTAGTGATGTACCACTCGTACCGGTCCCCTGTTGGACTGGTATGTACTAGCATATCAAGCGGTACATTGCGGTATAATGCAAGGTCTGTCATACCGAAGCGTACCGCCCGTACCGGGCGGTACGCACCGGTCCGATAGGTTACCGGTACGCGGACCGATCGGTATCGCTACAGTGCTACAGTATTATACTGCAGCACTGCTACAGTGCTACAGTACTGTACTGTCGCATTGCTACAGTATGAAAGTATAAAATTATTTGGTACACCGGTACCGTACCGTACCGAGCCCGAGTCGAAACGCCGATACGGTACGACCGTACGGTATGACGAACCTTGGTATAAGGAACCTTGGTTTGTATAAAGTTTGTACACTTTCGAATTGTACAGTCAAATCATGTTGATCAAGGCTCAAATTTAAAGTTCCCAAACAAACAATCTTTAAAAATCTTATACCTCAACAATTTTTTGGTTTGAAAATATTTGAGCTTTTAGTGTTAATTTTGGCATGAAATTTTGAAATTATGTATTTTATTAGTGCGCCTAAGATACATAAAATTGCAACTCTGATGTTCTTCATCCTTAGACAACTATTAGATAGTCCAAAATTTATAAGAAAACATGTAATTAAGTAGAATTTATTTAATTATACAAGGAAAAGAAGTTATTCTACTCTAACTTGCTTGTTAATAAAATTTAATGCTTTCCATTTGTCATGCTTATACTACATGAAGTCTTGTAAGTGTAACTTGCTCATTCATAAAATTGTGCCTTTGTGTCTCTATTTCTTGTGATGGTAAGGTAGACAAAGTGTTGCAGACTTGGCATTGGCTAGTAACACAAGTGCTGGGGCATTCTAAGCCTTGATAAATGTTGATTATACCAAACAAATGAGGGGCACCTCACCCAAGTTTTAGAAATGGAACCTCTATCTTATGCAAAGATAGGGAATGTAAACATTTTAAAGTATGTCTGGCTCTATTATGTATCAAATATGGGTACTTGTCAGTGGTTCAAACATGGGTTTGAAACTTTACTACAATGTGATGGAAACATATAAGCAAGGCTTGCAATAGTTCCAATTAATTACCTTTTACCTGTCTGACAGTGTATTTGATACCGGGGTGATGCAGAATGGGGGAGGGTGTAGTAGAATAGAATTCGAGAGAAAATCGATAGTACAGTTTGTCGAATAGAAAAGTAGCGAACTAACGAAGCAACTTTGATAAAAACGAAAAAAATAGCTCACCACCAAGTTTAAAATCACAATAGGATACAGAAAGTTCACTACCCAACGAAAATTAAACAAGGATACAAAACTAGAAAATAAAAGACTCACCACTCAAGGACGCATCCAAGAGATACAGAGTTTATGGGAGTACTCCAAGGGAGCTTCTGCCAAAATATCATTAATTTCTAAAGTTCTTTCTAAGCCCTAAACATCAAAATAAATACTAGTGCATGAAACAACCCTTCATGCATAGGGAATTTCGAAATTAAGTGTTTTACAGCTGCTAATCAACTCCTTTAATACATTCCTTGGTCATGAAGAAAAGCATCTTGAAATAGTTTTAACTTTATGCAGGGAATATGCTGTTGAGCTGTCATATTTGAGTGAGTTGAGTTCAAGACTAAGAGGCAACAATATTGGCTGAAAAAAATACCATAGCATTAGCAAGGTCCATATGAGCAGATTGTATCAAATTAGACACTCCCGTGTCAATGTCCCATGGTTGAAAAAGACTTGTCCTCAAGCCCTTGTTTGTTTCGTCAACTTGATTGTGAAAAGGACTTAAATCAGTAATATTAAATGTTGGGGACACTCCGTAATCTTCAGGTAGCTCGATCTTATATGCGTTTTTGTCAATTTTCTTAAGCACCTTGAATGGACCATCAGCTTTTGGTTTTAATTTTTCAAATTTGCCCGGTGGAAACCTCTCATTTCTTAGATGAATCCAGACCAAATCACCATCATT